AACCAGGATGGTGGGAACAGAGTCCTGTCGTGTTCAGTGGAAGAGCACCACCAACACCACCATCAAGAGCAGCTGCAGCCAAGAGCCCAACGTCAGGGTGGCCTGGCCCTTCTGGGACATGAATCGGTGCTGGTTCACCAGGCGCTCCTTCACCAGGGCCTGCTTGAAGCCGTCCTCCTCCGAGATGCAGATGTAGTGGCCGTAGTGCACGTGGCTCACGTTCTGGATGAAGTGGAAGCAGTTCTGCTGGGGGTGGGTGGTGTTGCAGGTCTTGATGAGGCTGTTGTTGTGGTACCAGTTGTAGGTGGCATAGTGGGACTCGATGGGACAGTTGAGGTAGTAGCGGGAGAAAGGGACGACTGCGATGTTCTGATAGTCATCTGCTGGAAGAGATTGACAAGGGGGGATGAGACAGGCAACTCCAGGAACCATGGGTTCCCCCACAAGTCTGGAGGGAGGAACAGTGGGGTCCGTGGGGTCATTGTTACATGGCCATTTAATGACAATGGCAGGGCCTAACCCAGACCTGGTGAAGTCCATGGGACTCTTCTCCTTGGACATCGGCAAACACAGAGTTGGAGCCCTCTCACCCAGCTCAAAAATACATTATCTAGTGATTAACTCCAAGCTGAGAGTTGCTTGGTGTCTTGACCTCAGCTTGGTCATTCCCAGTTCATAGAATCATAGAATTGTTTTGGTTGGAAAAGACCTTTAAGATCACAGAGTCCAACAGTTCCCCAGCAACGAGTTGCCATGCTTGGCACAGCCTGTACAAAGGCCTGAGAATCAGTCACCCTACCCCAAATACCCCCTGGATAAATGGCCTAAGCTCAAAACTTTTACATACCTTCCTTAACATCCCCCTTCTGGCACTTTCCTTGCCATGCGTCCAGGTTCAGGTTCTGATGTACCTCCCTAGCAGATGGGAACAAGCATTAGCAAAGCACTAATGTCAGGGAAGATGCGTTTCAGGGCTAGGAAAGGAATCACCTCTACAAGATGTAGTGGGTCAGATAAGAAATTTAAACACCTGCTATTACCTGGGTAAGGAAAACACACCCCCACTCAGGACGTTGGTGGATGACAAACATGAGACCGAGCAGCTCACCACAATCCACTGCTTGAAAGAGCACCACAACAAGCAGAGCTACACACATTTCCAACAGCAAAAGAGGGTCTGGGTGCTCAAATCCCATTACCCTCTCCCCACCCCAGAGCAGGGGTGCTGCGGGAGGGATGGATCCCTGCAGAGGCAGAGTTTTTGGGGACAGCACAGATGTCTGCACTGTCACTGCCTGGACACGATGGGCTCAACTCTCTGTGACGGGAAGATGGCCTCAAAACCATGGGCGGCCCTGGCTGGGCAGGGGAATACCAAGGGTCTGGGTATTTATCACATGAAAGCAACCAGCCGGAGGAGATGGAGGAAGAGCCAGCTGTTGGCACCACGTACCGGTTTAGATAAACCGACTGACAGCTTCCATTGAACCACCCACAGTACGGGTCCCTCGCCAGCAAGCAGCTTTCACAGTTGTTGCGGTACACCCTGCACATGTCCATGGGTATCTCCACGACTTTATTTGCTGATCCAACGTACAGCGCTGCCTGCAGGAGGGAAGCAGAGGGGCTGATCGTCTCTGTGCTGTGTCCCAGTGCCACCTTACGAGGGTCTGGCACTTCTCCAGCTTCACTGTGACACTGGGGCTGGGAGGTCTCCAGGCGATGAAGTCCTATGTCCCTGTCATGGGAGGGGAAACAGCCATCCTTCCTCCACCAGCCCTGTGTGTAAGTCAGTCTGCTCCATCAGTGACAGCAGTGCTGTCACCTCTGGGATGGAGCTGTCTCATAGCTTGTCCACCAGCAAGGCTTGACAACAAGAGGGAAACTACAGGGGGAGGACAACACTGTGCTGAGATTTGGCCCAGGGAGCAAACAGCCCCCTCCTTCCCCCGACGCCAGAGGAGAGGAGGTGTCTGAAGAGCTCTGCTGCCCACTGACCACGCAGAGAGTTACCCAGGACTGGGGACATCTGGCCAGCTGTTAGGATTTAGCAAAGCATGGTGCAGGAGCCCCCCACACCCACCCAGAGGCTACTTCCAGATCCAGGGGCTATCACTAAACCATCTGTCCCTGCCTGCCCTGCTGCCTGCTTCTGACGCTACAGCCCAACCCACTGTTTTCCTTTCTACAGAATGGGCAGAGACTCACCCTCTTGTGGTCCAGGATCATGGACTGGATTGGGTCCTTCTTTGGGAAGACCTGGAGCTCCATGATGTTCTGCACCCCGTCTGGCAGCTCCACAATCTTATGGATGGATCCCTTGTCTAGACAGAGAGAGAGGTGAGCCCTGATGAAGCATGCTGAGAGCAGAAAGGCAAGGCAGAGGGGCTGTAGGCAGGGTGGGGGAGGCAGGCAGAGAACCAGCTCTGCCTCCGGCCCTCGCTGTGGCAGACAATACCCACTCTGCAGAGCCAGGCGTGACTGAATTCCTGAATCCAGCCACCCAGAGGAGACAGGACCTTTCTCAGAAGAAGCCTACTTGCTCTGCTAGGAAATCGTCCCCCAGACAGTAGTGTTTCCCACAGCAGAGCCTTGTCATCCTCCCAGCCAAGAGCCATGAGGAACCCATTTCCCACCTCCCTTTGGAACCTGGCTGTGCCTGCTTTGATCTGCTGCGCTGTAACGGCCTCGGCAAGAAAACCCAACTGCTCGAGCTGTGCTCTGCTTTGATCGCCGGCCTGTTCTTGCCTGAGCCTCATCTCACCACCTGCCTGAGGCTGAAACTTGGGGGTTTGCCTTTCTGTTTTTCTAATTAAACTGACTCCCCTCCCCAGCTAAATGACTCCAAACTGATAAGTCACTTTGGAAAGGCAGATCCTGAAGGAACAGGGCTCAAGAATCCTCATTATTTACCTTCTCCTAGTACCTACAGGGTTCTCCTTAGTCACTTCCTTTTCCACCATCAACCAGGGGGAGGTGAAAGATGTGACCCCAGGTCAGGCAGGGATTAGGACCTCCCAGGTGCTGTCTCTTGCCTCCACACTGTCCCCAGCGAGGGTGGGCAGCTGCCCTGCCAAGCCCTGCATCCTGCAGCACGCTCTGGTAGGGCTCTGCAAGGTGGTGGCTGCATTTAAGCTAAGGCTTTAGGCAAGATAAGAACAATCTGAGCATGCCTGGGCCCTAATCCAACCCAGGCCACCTACTGAGAGCCGTCTGCAATTTTTTAATCACAGATTAGGAAACAAAAGCCCCAGAAAGTCCCTCCACAAGTGCCAGGGAACAAATCCCAGCAGAGCACAGATAAAAGGATAAACACAGCTGGAGAGAGCAAACCTGGGAGGCAGGCAGGCAAGAGAGGGAAGTGCTGGGTTAGGGACCTTTGCACCTCCTCCGACCCCAAGTAGCTACCTGACCGAGCTCACCGACCTTTCGCTCTCCATCCCCTTCACCTGCAGCTGAATCTCCTTGGCCCAGCACCGCAGCACCTTGGCTGCCCCGGGACTGCTGGCAGCTGTGATCAGCTGGCTGTGTCTCCAGCCAGAGGTGCTGGCCTCACAGGCAGCCTGTGCTGCTGCACTAGAGCAAGTGGGGACAGGAGAGGAGAGAATGGGTCCCTTTGCAAAGGATATCTGCTTGACAGCATAAAGCTGCACCTGGGGAGAGCTGTGCTATGCCCCCGCCCCTTGCCCTAAAAACACTTGGCCCGAGATCTACCACAGGATGAAGCAGCCCAACTGGGTAAACCCCATGTGCTGGGATTCTGCTTCCAGCCTGTCTTTGCCTATGCAGCCAAATTGGATGTATTTAGCTGTACTGGGACTCAGCAGCTCTTTTCTGCTTACAAACATATGCCAACCTGGCAACGCAGCCTCTTGCTTCACTCTGCACTGGGAGTCTCATCTGATTCCGTCTTGAGAGAAAAGCAGACTCCAGAGAATTCCAAAGGGAAAGGTTAGAATCATAGAATGGTT